CTCGCCACCTCCCGCGTTCGCCTGCAGGGCGGCGTGGGGTGTGGCGGGCGCCCTGCGGCGCCGCGCCCGGCACTTCGGGCTCCTCGGGAAGGCCCCGCTGCGTGGCCAGGCAGCCACTGGCGCACTTGTTCCCGCCGGGTGACTGGGACTCCTGGCTACGCTGCACCCGCTTCTCCAACTTTCTGGAGATCCCGTCGGTGGAAGCGCAGTTCCCTCCGTTCCAGGGGTTACAGAAACACACACATCGCCCGTTTTCAGCAGCACTGGGTTTCCAGCTGCCGCGCTCGACTCTGAATTTTGTTCCCAGGTGCTCGAAACTGCTATCCAGGACCGTGCCCTCCCACTGCCTCACGGAGGACTCTTTTTTTCGGAGAAGTAAGCTAAAACTAATTGACAAGATTTCAGGATTCAGGATCCTTTTCTCTGTAGGATAAATAGGTAAACTCACTCCGAAGTTAAGGCGAATACTCTGGTTGAGGTCCCTGTGTTTCTGTACCTTTAATAGTAAGATTCAGCCCAGTTTCAGACTGGAAAAGCTTTAAGTACAAACAACACACGTGACCACGTGTCTGCTTTAGTACCAAATTTATTTTTTTTAGTACCAAATTTAGTACCTCATTCAAATTTCTGCAGTATTTTTTCCCCTCTGAGCAGAAAGTTGTAAAGAATACCATCAAAATATATGCAAACAACTTACGTGGTGACCTAGGGGCGCATCTCCAAGTTCCAAGCTACTGTGTGGCTCTATCAGCACAGGATCCCTAATGGTTAGAAAATGTCTTTCGCTGTTCTGTTCCATTAGATTGCATTGACTATGGACTTGTCCTAATGCAACCAGCCAAAGCCAAGGATGGTGAAGACAAGATTTGGGACAGGCTAAAAACCATAGGAAATAAAAATGGAAAACTTGAAGGTGACCCTGAATCAGAGTGGACAAACAATTTTTAAAACCTTATTGTCCTGAGAAACAAATCTATAAATTCATTAATTTTGTTTTAAGGACTATCTCTAAATTCCTGGAAATTAGAGTTTCATTACACTCCTAGATCAGAAATAATATTGCCTTCTATGTACACTCCAACAGAGTACAGACTTTTTGAGAACAAGCTCCATTTCTAATTTATCTTTGATGCTTCATAATTCCCGTGTTGTGCTAGGTACTGTTGAAAGTACTAGCTGATCACCAAATGCATTTACTTCCATTCCTCAGGAAAGAGGCACATTGCATTCCCAGCCTCCCTTGCAGTTGTGGCCATTCAGGCTTACCCTATTAAAACACACACACACACACACAAAACTTACACAATCTTCCATGCCTTTTCCCCTAATGTGCCACATGCTGAAGATGGCAGAACTACGAACTAGGAGTCTAGGTCCTTGGGTCCCTGAATTACTACTTGGAGGAGAACCACCCATTAGTAATACCTGTTTTGGACTTTACATGAACAAAGTAAACTCTTCAGTTATGTTTAGGAGCTAGTTTTATCCTAAATAACATATAGCAGTTGGGATTCATAAATGAACAATACAGACAGATCCCTGCACTTGAGCTCACAGTCTACCTCATAGCTCATATCACAATCTGTAATCATCTTGTCTGCTCGCTTGCTTGTTTATTAGTTGGTTATCTGTTTCCCTAATTAGAGTAGGAACCTCATCTGTCTGTTCACTTCTGTATGCTCAGCATCTACTGTATTTCCTTTGGTGTAAACATGTTGACTAGAAACTTGAATAAATGAAAGAACACTGGGCTAAGTCAGGCATGATACCTGCCCTTATGGAACTTAACAGTTTATAGTAAATCACTAGTGAATATATAATTACTAATGTGTTAAGTATGATCAAAGAGTAGAGTTCTATGAGGCAATCTACATTAGATTATGAATTCAAGGATGGCTTTCCTGAAGAAGTAAGATTTAAACAGACCTGAAGGAAGAGTAGAAATTAGCCAAACTAAGTCAGTGAAGAACTTTCCAGGCAAAGTCTCTTCAGATTGGGGGAAACTTGGTGAGATTCAGGAAATAAAACAAGGTGTAGTTGAAAGTTAGAATCAAGGGGAACTGGTGCCTGTAAGGACAGAGAGCTAGGAACCAGATTATACAGAATCTTGTAGGCCATTCTGGAGGTTTGGGATTCATCCCAATAGCAGTCAATGGCAATCCACTGAAGAGTTTTAAGTAAGGGATGAAGTGATCAAATTGGAGATTAAAAAATTCCCTCCGTTGCATGTAGAATAGATTGGAGGGAACAAGAAAAGATGTGGGCAGAACAGTGAGGAATTTGGTTACAACAGTGCAGGATGACCAAGCAAGGTTGTGGAGATCATGCCCTGCACAAGAGGGCAAGTGGGGCTGAAGTCCAGCCCCAGCATTTGCTCAGGGGAAGGGGATCCTTTTTCTAATTAGCTAGGCCAGTGGTGGCAGTGGAGAAGAAGCAAAGTGGACAGATTTAAGAAATACTTTGGTGGCAGGATGGACAGTACTTAATGAATTGGAGTGAAAGTAAGAGAGAGAAAAGAGGTGATAAATGAATGCCCGGTTTCTGATAGGAGCCAGTGAATAGGTAGAAACACTGTTTGTGGAGATAGGCTAAAATGGAATAGGAGATTTGAGGGTGAGGGGTGTAGTTTTCAGTTTTAGATGAATCAAGTCTGAGATTTGACCTAACCCTGTTAGAAGGTATGATCTCCTTCCTCCTTTCATCAGAGGATAATTCATCCTCCTCCCTTGCTGGGTCTAGAACTTCACCCAAAATGTAATGGTGATGGGTATGAGGGGAATCTTGGGAAGTGAGCACTCCTACCCACTTGAAACTTCAAATATTAACTCTGACCTGGGGCAAAAATAGGGTAAGACTCTAGAGTAAAGCTGGTGCTCTTGGAAGATAAAAGCAAAGATACTATTTTTAGTTTTTTTATTGACAAGTACACAGGTGGTCCCAAGTTCATACAGTTTTTACATAAAATTATGAGTATATTTCCCTGTACATATGCCTCCTTTTGGTTTCTTTTCTTAATGTTGTTTGGTGCTTATACAATTATTTAAATAAGAAATTCAATCTCTGTACAGTATTAACTTGCATTTGACTCCTTGCAGTTTTCAAAACATTCAAATTCTATTCCTGAATTTCTGAAATGCCTATCATCCGCTAAATTTTAAAATCCAATGGGTTTTTCTTATACGTAATTGCTTTCCTGAGTTCATTTTGCTTCTCAGTCTACAATCTCACCTTCCTATCAATTACCCCTCACCATTTTTCCCTTTTATCTGTAACTTTGCTATATACTGGCTGCTTTGGCTTTTCTCTTTGGATAATTTTCCCACTTTGGTTCCAAAGACACAAATAATATCAAATAATAAGACTTTGATCTGGGTTTTAGCATCTTTGTTAGTATGCTTTATCATTGTCCTTTTTTTTTTTTACTTTTTTTGGCAGCTGGCTGGTATGGGGAACCAAACCCTTGACCTTGGTGTTACAAGGCTGTGCTCTAACCAGCTGAGCTAACTGGCCAGCCCTTTATCACTTTCCTTTTAAATTTAAATATAAATTCACTGTCTGTAACATGAAAAAAAAAATCTGAGTGGAATTTTAATTAATGCTGAGCATATTTGATTGATGTTAAAATCCAATATTAGTTAACATCAAAAATAATGTCATGTTCAATTGAATAAAAAACTACAGTGTCTCTAGTAGTCTTTCATGTGATCTTTAAATTCTATTAGCTTTCAAAACATTCCATCATATGACCCCTGACTTTCGTATGGGAGAAAAAAAATATTATTTTTCCCTCTATTCATCTTAGGTTCATTGGCTGGGACCCTGCAAATCAGACTGACAAAAAACATTAACAAGAGAAAAGCAAACATTTAACATGTGCCTCACATATACACATGGCAGTATTCAGTGATAAGTAATTCAAAGGGGTGGTTAGAACTTGGGTTTGTAGCAACTTACGAAAGAACAATAAATGTTTAGACAAGTAACAACAAAGGAAAAGGATTTTGAGTCTCTAGAGTATCAAACTTAGGAGGGTAAATATATGGGAGAACTAGTGGAAGATGAAGCTACTTAGTACAGTTTGTTGTGTAGATTCCTCTGGTGAGATCTCTGGGCTGATAAGGGTCTAGCATTGCCTCCAGTGATTAACTTCTGTCTCTCCTGGTAGAGAGGAGAGAGGGGACAACTTTACAAGTTTATGTCCTGCTTTTAGACAAATAGGGGGAGGGCAGAGAGCTTTTCTTACATATACTTCTTCTTAATGCCTTTAGTTCAAAATAATATACTGAAGTGGCATGTTTTGGGGTGGCAATTTCTGCTACCTTTTACTCTGCAACTAATTTCTCAATAGTAACGGTGATAATAGTTATTTATATAAAGATTGTTATGAGCCAGTAACAACAACTGAAATGAGGAAGTTTCTGTGATTTTTCCTGATTTATAGATGAAGAGCCTAAGACAAAGAGAATT